CTCCGTTTCCGCGCGGGAGGCCTTCCCGCCCGCCTGAGTAAGGCAACCGGGGTAAGTGGGGTGGGGCTGCGGGCGCTCTCGGACTGGAGCGAGCCTGTGCGGCATGATTTGCACATCTATTACACGGGCGTCCTTATGGAGACATTCACCACCCTGGTGCCCTTCAGACTTCGGTGAAAAGTCCCTGCATCGCCAGGCTGCCCTCGATTTTACTCTCCCGGTTCGAAGTCCCCCAGAGTATGGCGCTTGGGTGCGTTTTAAGGAATTATTAACAGGGCCAAGGGAAGGACCTGTACATAGTCAATACATTCAAAGGCTAAAGGTTCAGCGCTTTTATTTCCGGATTAGTGCACCATAGAAATGAGAAAGGTCTCAATCTGGAAATTTAAAATGCGGGGCGTGTATGTGGAATGTGACTCACTGGTACAATAAAAGGATATCTGAAACTACTGGTGCTCAGTTCGGTGAACGTCCTGAATGCCTGCCGCACCTATCTCAGTTACTGGCCCATTGTGTGAACTCAAAAGATGTTCCTTGAGCGAATGAATGACATGCACAAAGCCCTAGGCTAGGAGATAAAGAAAAATTAGGTTGTTCTTGACCTTCAGAAGTTGTTTTCGTATACACCCTTAAGTGTACATATACATGAGGCATAAGAGAGCTACAAAGTGCTCTCTTTGGTAAGATAGAAAGTGCATATGCTTGTGGAAGAGATGTAAATGGATATCAAATTATAAAGAATTAAAAAAATATTAAGGTGCAAATAGACACGTTCGTGAAAGGTTACTAGGGCCCTAGCTGGTGTGGGAGGCAACCAATCCATGTGCCTCTCTCTGTCTCTCCCCTTCCCTTCCACTCTGTAAAAATCAATGGAAATTGGTCAACATGAATATATAGGTTTCAAGTGTGGGTTTTTGTTACAATATCGTGATATTGCACCATGTGCCCACCACCCAAAGTCAAATCTCCTGTCACCATACATTAGGACAGTGGTTCTCAACCTTCCTAATGCCGTGAGCCTTTAATACAGTTCCTCATACTGTGGTGACTGCCAATTTCATTGTTACAAATTGAACATAATTAAAGTATAGTGATTAATCACAAAAACAATATGTAATTATATATGTGTTTTCCGATGGTCTTAGGCTACCTTGTGAAAGGGTCGTTCAACCCCTTAGGGGTCGCGGCCCACAGGTTGAGAACCGCTGCATTAGAACCTCCTTCTCCCCGACCCCGTTCCCTCTGGCAACCACCACATTGCTGTTTGTGTCCACAAGTTTTAGTTTACATACCACATCTATACTAATAAAAGGGTAATGTGCTAATTAGACCAGACATCATCCAGATGTCCTTCCGGACAAAGCCTCGGTGGCAGGGGCCAAGGCAGAGGTGGTTAGGGGCGATCAGGCCCGCAAGTGGGGGGGTGCAGTTAGGGACGATCAGGCTGGTGGGGGGGGGGGG